GCTCAAATCTGATGCTTCGCGCCAGCAACGGCTCGTCTTGAATACCATGCTGGGCGCATGACGCTGGTCACCAGCTCCGTACAAATGCTGCCAAAGCGAACTGCCTAGGTCGATACTTCTCCAATAAATCCGTTCTTGGCACAGAATATTCACGTATGAAAGTTACATCAGGGTGGCATTATTCACTCTGTGATTGTGACACAAGAAGGCTTGACTTGATTAATATGCCACACTCGCTAGAAGTCACACATACCCTTCTACAACCTTTTGGGATTTGTTGCTACAGGGTGTGACCTATATTCAGGAAAAACAGTATGCTCATTTGTTCAAGATACCAGTACAGTACTGAAGTATTTGTTCAAGATACCAGTACAGTCAACTTCGCCAATAACGACATTCGGCGGGGCATCAGAAAAGTGTCCTTATTCGCGAAGTGTCCTTATAACCGAAGTCCCATTTGAATGTATGTGAACCCATATTTTGTATAGTATGACATGCATATCAAAATCAAGCTCTTTTCTTGCTCTATGTCAATGTGTACTTTATTTTCATATTGCAGTTGAAAGGAACTAAAAATTCAATATGCAAGGGAAATCAATTGAAAAATATGCCTTTTTGAGCCATCTACAGGGCCAGAGACTAGACATGTACATGTATGATGATTACTGTACAGTCATGTACAACTACATGTACATTGTATACATATATATGTAGGTGTGCTGGTAAATCCAACAATTTTGAAGCCAACATAAAAAAGGAAGAAAAAGCCCCCCCCCCCTTGGCTGCATTTTCTTGCATGTGTGCCTTTATAATAATATCCGTCACCATAGGTTCTGGTACTTCTGCATGACAGGTACATGATTGTACTTGACTGACAGGTACTGCACACTGTACTTGAAATAGCTGTCAAAAGCCCAGAAAGTCGTTATTCAAGCAGTGAATATGACCTCGGGGCACTAAAAGCATGTCGCTATACGCGAATTGTCGTTATTCAGATAGTCGTTATATCCGAAGTTAAATGTATACAGTTAGATGGGACTTTGCTCTGGGCATGGAAATTCGGTCGTTATTCGCGAATTGTCGTTATATCCGCAGTCGTTATTAGCGAAGTTGACTGTACAGTACTGAAGTATTTGTTCACTACAAGGGCTGTCCAGGTCAGCACTAGCATGCACCTACAATGTAAACAACAGACTAACTTACCATCCAGGACTAAGCTTGGTGCACTGCTGTCGATCTCCTCATCATTCTCATACTGCACAGGCTGACCAGGCAGACATTGTGAGGCCAGAGCTGACAACTGCTTCAGCTGATCACCCACACCTAGCTTCTTGATCTCGTCACTTCCTACACCACAGCAAGTACACGCATGTGCAACAGGTACACACACATGTACACGCACACGTACACACACACATGCACACACACACACACACACACACACACACACACACACACACACACACACACACACACACACACACACACACACACACACACACACACACACACACACACACACACACACACACACACACACACACACACACACACACACACACACACACACACACACACACACACACACACACACACACACACACACACACACACACACACACACACACACACACACACACACACACACACACACACACACACACACACACACACACACACACACACACACACACACACACACACACACACACACACACACACATGAACATGAACACACATACACACACATGAACACACATGAACACACATACACACACACACACACACATACACACACACACACACACACACACACACACATGCAGAGCTTGCCACTGTAACTACACTACAGTCTTTACAACATTGTCCACAACAATAACAGAAGCAGTGAGAATAGCAATAACAACACCGTGAAGTTGAAGCAACTGCGACGACGACAACAACAACAACAACAACAACAACAACAACAACAACAACAACAACAACAGCAACAGCAACAGCAGCAGCAGCAGCAGCAGCAACAGCAACAGCAACAGCAGCAACAGCAACAGCAACAGCAACAACAGCAACAGCAGCAGCAACAGCAACAGCAGCAGCAACAGCAACAGCAACAGCAGCAACAGCAGCAACAGCAGCAGCAACAGCAGCAACAGCAGCAGCAACAGCAGCAACAGCAGCAGCAACAGCAGCAGCAACAGCAGCAGCAACACACAAGCTAATCTACAGTCACATAACGGTGCATGGTTGAGCAATTACCTATTATAACTTTCGCGTGTTGAGCTTGGTCGGCATGGCGACTGAAATATTCACATGGTGCTGGGCTACTTTGTAGAAATGCCAAATCATGCTCCAGGTACCTCAGTACCTCCACACACACAAACAAATAAACAAGCAAGCAAGCAAGCAAGCAAGCAGAACAGAGCAGAAGCAGAAAGAAACGAAGATCGAGAGGCAATGTGATTGTGGTGATACGTCAATGAGCAAATGCTGGAAAACTGGATAGTGATATGTTACTAGGTATGTACATGCAATGAACGCCACTGTTAGTGCATGTACTGTCACGTCACTATCCACTGTGTTCTGTTGTGATGTGACGAGAAGCGTATGTTGTGATCTCGAACTCGTCAGTCACTGAACTGATTTTATTGTAAAGAAGACACGAACTTAGCGCACAGCACCGTCGGGTGCCGAATAACGGCAGAGGTCAGAGTCTTAGCCTAGGTAAGGTTGTTCTTACCTATCAGGGCACTATTGTGTAGTTTAGCGACCGCTCTCATACCGGTACCGGTAAACTGCACATGGTGAAATTCTAGCCTGCTCGTTCTTCGACGTCCAATTGTACTGTTCCAGGGAAGGGGGGTGTTGTCCAATTGTACTGTTCCAGGGAAGGGGGGGGGGGGGTGTTGTCCAATTGTACTGTTCCAGGGAAGGGGGGTGTTGGAAGGCACTTTAGTGTGGTACGGTTAGTCATCTGAAGGACAAGTTACTCGCGGGGGAGGGGTTGCTGAGCCGAAAATTTTGGAAATTTAGAGTCCAGATCAGTGTATTTTATCGATTCACGGGGTGCCTGAGACAAAAAGTGGTACGGTCAATACCGTAGTGGCCGTACCGTGTCCGACGCCCCTGTGTTCTCTGTATTATCACAGTCACTCACTGTGTACTGAGGCATGCTCTCACTACCTCCCAGTGTGCCATACTTCTAGGGCAGCAGCAGCATGCCCAATACTGCAGGAGGTAGTAGTACATTGGACACAGTGCAGCACACTGCATGCCAAAACAACACGGACTCGGCTGCAGCTGCACCGGTGCAATGGTGCAAGTGCATCGGAGTGGCCAGGGCCAGGGACACGTGGTGTGTATACATGTACTTACTTGCTGGTGACGTCGCTCTGCCGGGTCTTCATCACAGCCAGTAGATTTACGCTTCCTCTTCTGCAGTGAACATGACACAGTGTGCATACATGACGGAGTGTGCATACATAATGTATGCTTGAGAGAGTGTGTATACATGACACAGTGTGCATACATGGCGGAGAGGCTAACACTAAAAAACTGGCCCAGTGGGTACATGTTACGACAACGCAACCCCTAAACTACAGATACTCTACAGGTACAAGACAATGACTTTGTAACCGGCTTGAATACGGAGGTCGCCTCACTGCAGAATGCATTACAAACCAGATTGGCAGCACCGAACTACCCAGAGGCAGTGTTTACCGGGCGAGGGCTGCACAGCACCCGGTATAACTCATTCGAGGAGATGGATTTCATAGCGCGGCACTACTAATATGCAGTTGCCGTGTAATGCGTGTATGCTGAGGATCTAACGTGGGCTTGCGATCAATATTATATATTATCATTTACGCTCAGACACTGCACAGAGATACTGGTGCTTTTGCTGTGCGACGTGCAAGTCTGATGATGATGCTCTGATCTCCACAGCTGGCTTTTGCAGTTGCACACTGTACATGGCATGACTATGTTGTAGTAGTTATGTTTGGACTTACAGAGGAAGACTTTCCACTGTCCAATACAGGCTGAAAGTAGCTCTCCTGGATGCAAAACAGGTCATCCTTCAGTTTGACTACTTCTCCTGGACCAGGATTTTCATCATTCTTACATAGGAGTTGTGTGGGAATGACTGGCAGCGTGCCACCACTCTGGTGATTCAGCAAGGCTACATCGCCATTTCTCCACTCCACACTCATTTGTTCAGCACACAACGTCTCCAGAGAGACACAGACAAGACAACATGCTTCTGTAGCACAAGCTGAAGGAATGAAAGACAACAAAGACAGATCAGAAGCTACACCAGGCCACGGCCACCAGTACAGTGGCAGTACCTCTCTGTTTTCAAATCAAAAATTCATCTCGCCTGCATAGTCATGCGCCTAGCCGACTCTCACTCCGAGCGCATCCAAACGGACCAAAGGGGATCTCCCCTTTTCAAAGTAACTACAAATCCACCGTCGCGTCCACGTGGTTTTTTCAGTGATCGCATATGCGCATATCGTCGGTCGAGCGGTCGACCTATCCGGGGCGCGATGTGGGACCCAGGCCAGGGAGTCGTAAAAGCCGGGTTCCCTGGTCTGATCTGACCTACCGGTACGAGTACGCGGTGCAGGCCTACATGTACACACAGCTTTGTTGCTTCGCCAAAGCCCAAACTCACTGGGCCAAACGGGCAAAGGCGAAGCCGGTGGTGGTCCATGGTTTGGACTTGGAGTTGCCACTTGGACATGGATATAACAACGACCAGTCTTGTCATGTCCTTGCCCAAACTAAACGGGTAAGTCTACCGTAAATCTACTTTTCGACATTCCCCACGCTTTCACGAGTAATATTTTTAGTAGCGCAAAGAAGTAAATGAATGGAGCTGAGCGCCCAGTTATTAATAATAAATATTATTCTGGTCGGCCAGGCTATGGCAGCCAAGGGCTCTCAGATCAGGGTGTGGGGAGTGGTGTCTTGAATGTGGAAATGTTGCATTGTCGTGCCTTCGTGTTCGTGATACTGATACTGAGTGTCTGTGATAGAAAAAAATATAGACGAGTATCGCGAGCTGGTTTCCAAGCGCTAGGCTAGCGACCAGACGGGTGAGTCAAAGTGATCATGGTGGTTGACCAAGCTGCTATTCACATCATCCTCACACTCACAGCTTGCCATACTGCTTTCTAGTACTATTCACACGGATACTGATTGCGGCTTTTAGCCCGGCTACTTTGGCTTGGAAGGATTTGGTGTGAAATCTCCTGCTACGTGCTGCGTCGTCCTCTTCTTCAGCGTGGTGTGAACATCCTTGTTGGAGAGCAGTCATGTCGCAACCGGACAGTCACAGCGCCGATACTGGCGATAGCTGCAGCAGCGACAGCAGCAGCGGTAGCAATGGCCTCGGCAATCATCACCTCCGTGGAGATAAAGATGGTGAGGAAGCGCTGACTAGTTTAGACATGAAGTTCTGCACGGATCTGGAGAAGTATGTTCTTCTCTCGAATTTCGAGAAGCGAGGATGGACGCGGGGTACAACCAGACAACGCCGCGCAGGACCTGGTGGCGGTGCTGCTGCAGCAGCAGCAGCATCAGCAACAGACAGCAGTGATGACTCACCGGACGAGAAGGAGCCAGCAGTGGACACCGGGTCACCATGGAACTTCTACTGGGCCAGCGTAACAACCATCAGTCAGATGTTCAGTGGCGATAGTCGATACAGGCGACTGCGTCCGGATCAAATCGTCAATCACTTCCCAAATCATTGCGAACTGACGAGGAAAGACTTGATGGTTAAGAACATCAGGCGCTATCAAAAAACCTTAGAAAAGGAAGGCAATCCGCTGGCTGAAAAGGAAGCAGACGGTACATACAAGTACTTGGACTTTCTGCCAGTGACATTCATACTCCCTGGTGACTACAACCTGTTCACTGAGAATTTTAAGCGCACGCCGAACGTCAGATGGATAATGAAGCCGACAAGCAAGGCATGTGGCGTTGGAATCATAATCGTGACAAAACTCTCGCAAATAAAGAAATGGGCCTCGACGGGTCCGAATTTGCCCACCGTCACCGGCAAGGATGCGTACGTCATCTCTCGCTACCTCGACCACCCGCTGCTGATTGGCGAGCGCAAGTTTGACCTGCGGCTGTACGTTCTGGTCACACGCTTCAAGCCGCTGCGTGCCTACTTCTACCGGCTTGGCTTCTGTCGCTTCTGCACAGTCAAGTACGCTGCCGGCGAGGCAGACACGAGCAACATGTACGCACACTTGACAAACGTCTCCATTCAGAAACACGGTGACGAGTACAATGTCGAGCATGGTGGAAAGTGGAGCTTGGAAAACCTACGCCTACACTTGATTAGTATCTATGGCCAGGCAAAGTGGGACAAGCTGATGGACGACATTCACTGGCAAATCATACACTCCCTGAAGGCCGTCCAGCCCGTGATGAACAATGATCGGCATTGCTTCGAGGTCTACGGCTATGACATCATTGTGACGAAGGACTTCAAGCCATGGCTGATAGAGGTGAATGCGTCGCCCAGCCTCAGCCACACGACCGTCTCCGATCGCATCATGAAGTCCAGTCTGATCGACGACACACTGAACATTGTCGTACCCAGAGGCGTCGTCACGGACGTGCGCCAAGCCAGACCCGTTCCTGCCAAGCTGGGCTTGTATGATCTCTTGTACGACGAAGAGGCCGCTCTCCTGGCCGAAGGGAAGGGTCCAAAGTACAAAGACGCGCAGCCCAAAGCAGCAATCTGGCGCTAGAATGCGCTGGCATCCATCAAGTGTTGAACGGACAGGCCTCTGACATCTGATCATGCTGTGCACAAGGATCATCGTGCTAGTGCTCATCTCTGCAGATCATTGGATATACAGGTAGTCCTGTACGCGCTGCTGTGATGGTAGTCACGCATACGGCTCACCTGACTTGAAACATTAGCTAGCTTCCAGGCCTGGGTCACCGGTGTGCCGTGCAGTATCATGCCATAAACTACACAATGCAATGTTGCTATCATCGTCATCATGAGTTGTCATGACTTGTCATGATGATGAATTTAATGTTAAAATTATTGTTGGAGCTTGCGCACGGTGATACATGTAGTTGTATTCAATCTGAGTTATCGTCAGTAATCCCAAGGCTAGCTAGTGTGTCACCCTATCACAATCTGTGTTATAATTATCATGTCCGCCATTTCACCATAACCCAAAAGATTGCTATGCTATTCCACACCACAACTTGATCACCCTGCTCGGGTCGAGTAAGTGAAATTCAATCCATCACAACCACAGCTCTTCATGCCAGATGCCAGTTACGGCACTGACTGTGTAATGGTGCTGTTTCCACCAAGAAGTGTCAGGGTTTCTAACGGAGGGAAGCGGTGGTTAGTGGAATCATGGACTCACGGTACTAAGGCAGTGTGACTACATGTATATTGCTTTGCACGTTTACTTGGCTAGCTCAACTCTTTAAAAGTCTCAACTCATCGCTGTGAAGCTCGCCTGTATTTGACCCGGGAAATAATGTCACGGGCCGGAAAACTATCAACTACATGTATCGGACTTATCAAACTGAGTGAATTGAATATTCACCATCATTGCACCAATGTTCCTCTGGGACTGGGAGAGGAGGAAGGGGGAGAGCACCATTCAGTGGGTAGGGCACTCTTCGGTGATCGGAATAGCCCTTTCCCAAAGATGCCAAAAACCAAGCCAAAACAAGTGAAAGTTGCTGATATTGCAACTCAAAATGAGCGAGTTCTTGTGCATACCATGGATGACAAAAAAAAACAAGCAAATACACGTGTAAGCAGCGGGTATAGACAACACTGTAGTATGTCACAGTACATGTACTGTGGCTATTAGTATAGATAAACCTTCAACGGTATTGTAGAAACACGTTTTTGGGCACTGTTTCATAAACACCCGGATTACTTAGCCACGCTCAATATAACTATATCACGCAGTGCTCGACGCTCCAACAAACTTGTTTTTAATTAATAGTACCCATGGCCGCATAATCTCTAATCTCTTTTTTTCACAAGACTGGAAAGTTCTGGAATTGCCTTCCACCTAACCTTACCTCAACAAACTCTCTCTCCGAATAGCTTTTTCGTAAGCGCACTTTACAGCATCGATACTCTTGCAAAGACTTGACCTTGACGCTATAATTGTTCTTCTGCTTTTCTCGTCTTTTTTCTTCCTCCCTCTCTTACCAATTTTCCCATCCCACGTATTTCATCAGTGAATCATCAGTGACATCACTCAAGCGAAAACAGGAAACCCCCTCATAAATACAATACAATACACAGTTGTCTAAAGTCCTCAAGTCCTCAGGCTGCAGTGCTCAATGTCCAGTGGACAGAGCCAGTATTATAAATACAAACATTACACAGCAAAGAAGCAAACAATACAAAATATTACACAGCAATGAAGCAAACAAGTCATTGCTGTGTAATATTTGTACAATACGAGTACAATACACCGAAGGATATACCCAGAGTGCTGACAGTGCTCAATACCACAAAGGCAGAGCGTAATACACACAACAGAGCAACAAGGACAATCAAGGCTTGTTTGCTGCTACTTTAAGTTTCATGCTTACGCAATCATCAGTTGCCTGATGATTGCGTGAGCATGAAACTTACTTTTTCTTCGTGTTCCGTTGCATCCACAATCTGCAGTTCACTCCTCTCTGACATGTTCTCCCTTCGCCGTGACTGCGCTCACACAGATAGAGTAACCCGCGGCCAAGTCAATTATTCCCTTTCCTTACCCATTGTGCAAGCTCAAGCTGGATACCGATCTATTTCATTCCTTGGTGCTGACCGCTTTAATGCGCTTCCCGAATCCCTTCGCACAAATCATATCCCCAATTCATTTCGCCAGGAGCTTAACAATTTCATTAATCTTGGGCACCCTGTAAGAAGACCTTAGGGTCTGTTGGGAATGCCCAAGTAAAATAATAAAATACAATACAAAAAATACAAAAGTAGCAGCAAACAAGCCTTGATTGTCCTTGTTGTTCTGTTGTGTGTACAATACAATACAAATACAATGGGTGAAAGGATAGCATATTATTGCATGTCACGTGAGGGTTGTCCGTACTACGGCCAATCAGCGCCCTCCGCAAGCGGTCTGTATTTCTCGGTATTGCCCGCTCAGGCGGGCAATAACTTTCAGTGTATTGCCCGCTGAATCCGATCACTCTGCGCATGCCCGTTCGTCAGTTGAGTCCTTCACTTCTCCGGAGCAGGTTGTCATTTTGGTGCGATCGATGGTAGATAGACAAAATCGCCATCAGACACACCGGTCACCAAAAGAAGCAACAGGCTCGAAAAAACGGAGGACTCTACTGGCGACGAGCATGTACAGAATAATCGGATTCAACAGTCAATACACCAAAAAGCTACTGCCTACCTGCACAATAGGACAATCCGTACTTTGAAGAGTAGATAAACTGTTTATCTTCTCTTGCTATTATGAATGAATATGTACACAGCGTAAACATGTTATTGTTAGCTATGGGACATGAACAGACTTGGAATGAGTTTTTGTTGGCGCTTCGCACATGCACACGGCATTCATGATGATAATAAATTATCATACCGGAATTGTTCAGTGCTGCCACATAATCATAATACATGTACATGACTGTACATGTTCTTCGAAAATTACACTTGTCATGATGATTTGATGCAATGTTTCAGCGCTTCTTGTTGAAGCGGAGCATCACGGACATTTCAATGGCTTCCTCCCGGGCGATTCTCTGCTCACGGTTGCGGAAAAGTTAGTTGCGAAGAAGTTTGTGAAAATGAAGAAAGTTGCGAAAGTTGCGATTTCTTCCAAAACAACCAAAAGTGGCGAGCATCTTTGGGAAAGGGCTATCTACAGTCCATTCAGAAAAAGATGAGCGGTGGCTCTGGAGAGCTCCCGTGTTTGGTGATTTTGCCAGTGCCGCGGGATCCGAAACTCGAAAAAGGGTCCAAAAAAGATACCTCAACTGGGGTTTGAACCGCAAATGTACTGTTCTGCAAGTGGAGTGGGCGGGTTGGATTTCCATGGCTTTTCCCCAAGTAGTAGTAGTAGTAGTAGTAGTAGTACAGTCGTCCCTCTCTAATCCGGCACTTTATAATCCAGCACCCTCGATAAACCAGCACAATTTTCAGTAGCCAAAATGTCCTCTTCATGTACATTGCAGCAGTAAATCAGATTTGTTAATCCAGCACCCTCCCTAATCCAGCAGATTTTCGTGGCACAAATGGTGCCGGATTATAGAGGGACCACTGTAGTAGTAGTAGTAGTAGTAGTAGTAGTAGTAGTAGTAGTAGTAGTAGTAGTAGTAGTAGTAGTAGTAGTAGTAGTAGTAGTAGTAGTAGTAGTAGTAGTAGTAGTAGTAGTAGTAGTAGTAGTAGTAGTAGTAGTAGTAGTAGTAGTAGTAGTAGTAGTAGTAGTAGTAGTAGTAGTAGTAGTAGTAGTAGTAGTAGTAGTAGTAGTAGTAGTAGTAGTAGTAGTAGTAGTAGTAGTAGTAGTAGTAGTAGTAGTAGTAGTAGTAGTAGTAGTAGTAGTAGTAGTAGTAGTAGTAGTAGTAGTAGTAGTAGTAGTAGTAGTAGTAGTAGTAGTAGTAGTAGTAGTAGTAGTAGTAGTAGTAGTAGTAGTAGTAGTAGTAGTAGTAGTAGTAGTAGTAGTAGTAGTAGTAGTAGTAGTAGTAGTAGTAGTAGTAGTAGTAGTAGTAGTAGTAGTAGTAGTAGTAGTAGTAGTAGTAGTAGTAGTAGTAGTAGTAGTAGTAGTAGTAGTAGTAGTAGTAGTAGTAGTAGTAGTAGTAGTAGTAGTAGTAGTAGTAGTAGTAGTAGTAGTAGTAGTAGTAGTAGTAGTAGTAGTAGTAGTAGTAGTAGTAGTAGTAGTAGTAGTAGTAGTAGTAGTAGTAGTAGTAGTAGTAGTAGTAGTAGTAGTAGTAGTAGTAGTAGTAGTAGTAGTAGTAGTAGTAGTAGTAGTAGTAGTAGTAGTAGTAGTAGTAGTAGTAGTAGTAGTAGTAGTAGTAGTAGTAGTAGTAGTAGTAGTAGTAGTAGTAGTAGTAGTAGTAGTAGTAGTAGTAGTAGTAGTAGTAGTAGTAGTAGTAGTAGTAGTAGTAGTAGTAGTAGTAGTAGTAGTAGTAGTAGTAGTAGTAGTAGTAGTAGTAGTAGTAGTAGTAGTAGTAGTAGTAGTAGTAGTAGTAGTAGTAGTAGTAGTAGTAGTAGTAGTAGTAGTAGTAGTAGTAGTAGTAGTAGTAGTAGTAGTAGTAGTAGTAGTAGTAGTAGTAGTAGTAGTAGTAGTAGTAGTAGTAGTAGTAGTAGTAGTAGTAGTAGTAGTAGTAGTAGTAGTAGTAGTAGTAGTAGTAGTAGTAGTAGTAGTAGTAGTAGTAGTAGTAGTAGTAGTAGTAGTAGTAGTAGTAGTAGTAGTAGTAGTAGTAGTAGTAGTAGTAGTAGTAGTAGTAGTAGTAGTAGTAGTAGTAGTAGTAGTAGTAGTAGTAGTAGTAGTAGTAGTAGTAGTAGTAGTAGTAGTAGTAGTAGTAGTAGTAGTAGTAGTAGTAGTAGTAGTAGTAGTAGTAGTAGTAGTAGTAGTAGTAGTAGTAGTAGTAGTAGTAGTAGTAGTAGTAGTAGTAGTAGTAGTAGTAGTAGTAGTAGTAGTAGTAGTAGTAGTAGTAGTAGTAGTAGTAGTAGTAGTAGTAGTAGTAGTAGTAGTAGTAGTAGTAGTAGTAGTAGTAGTAGTAGTAGTAGTAGTAGTAGTAGTAGTAGTAGTAGTAGTAGTAGTAGTAGTAGTAGTAGTAGTAGTAGTAGTAGTAGTAGTAGTAGTAGTAGTAGTAGTAGTAGTAGTAGTAGTAGTAGTAGTAGTAGTAGTAGTAGTAGTAGTAGTAGTAGTAGTAGTAGTAGTAGTAGTAGTAGTAGTAGTAGTAGTAGTAGTAGTAGTAGTAGTAGTAGTAGTAGTAGTAGTAGTAGTAGTAGTAGTAGTAGTAGTAGTAGTAGTAGTAGTAGTAGTAGTAGTAGTAGTAGTAGTAGTAGTAGTAGTAGTAGTAGTAGTAGTAGTAGTAGTAGTAGTAGTAGTAGTAGTAGTAGTAGTAGTAGTAGTAGTAGTAGTAGTAGTAGTAGTAGTAGTAGTAGTAGTAGTAGTAGTAGTAGTAGTAGTAGTAGTAGTAGTAGTAGTAGTAGTAGTAGTAGTAGTAGTAGTAGTAGTAGTAGTAGTAGTAGTAGTAGTAGTAGTAGTAGTAGTAGTAGTAGTAGTAGTAGTAGTAGTAGTAGTAGTAGTAGTAGTAGTA